AGTATTCAACTCCCCTCTTCAGTTAAACTGATAATGGCAAAACGAAGCAATGAGGGAAAACAAATGTCGGGGATTGAGGGGCGGAGATAAATCAGACACTGCTTGTAATAATTTTTATGGTAGCAGAAGAAAGTAGTGCAGAGAGGAGTGCAGTAGTTTTGTCCAGCAGAGTTTCACCCTGTGGGTAGAGGCAGTGGATTGTGACTAACTCATTACAGTCATGCAGATCTCTGCTTCATTACTGGCCTCTGGTCACAGCCTGGACAGGGACTGTGGTGCATGTTTGTCCAAAATGTCCTCAGAAGGACACAAAGATCAGTAACCCCTCAAGCTCCTGTGGGAACTGCAGATCAGCGTTAGGATTATGGTATTTCTTCCAACGCATATGCATATACAAGCAGCACTTTGCATTTACTTTTATAACCTGTAATAACCAAATGGCCATTTTTTGGCATCACTGACGTATCACCATCTATTAAGGAGATATGGAGTTTTTTTGTTTGCAAACAGATTTATTATTAGTGCTTATTTACACATCAAGCAGTTACAGACCAACATTATCATTCATTTGGAGTAGTGTTTCTGGCCACCTGATGATTGTAAGTCCAATATTCACTCTCTTTACTAGTTTCCACAAACCCCTGAGGGTAATATGTGTCTCTTTATCTCTTCTGCTCTCTGGTGCTGAGACCAAAACAGTAAAGTTGTGTGTTGGACAGCTGAACAGTGAGTTGTAACTTTCTCCGTAAAGCCGTGGGGAGCTGCAGATTCAGGCGATAACTGTCACACTGTCAGGGTCCGATGCTTCTTTCATGGTGGCCATAATGGTTTAGGTGCATGTAAAGTAACACGAGGCTCTGTCCTCATGCTGACCTTGTATCATCCCACATTAAAGTCTCCACCCTGCTGTCACACACATCCTGACTGGAGCTCCCTTCAAGCAGCACATCCTAATAGCTGCAGTACTCCTCCACCAAAATGTCAGCAGGTGATGACAGTTAAACAGCACCACCTTTTCAATGGGGATGTGTGTGTCTGTTGTTACAGCAGGAAACACTATAAACAATGCGACAGCTTACTCAGCTGCTGGGAGGTGCCTGAGGTACACACACACACACACACACACACACAGAGTGCCCCAGGTAGTGCTCCCCAAAGCTTTCTGAAGTTGAATTACCTTTGAGAATGACTTGTACATAAGGTGAACATCAGATGTCATTAAACAGACTCAGACTGCACCACTGTGGCTGTATCTGCACTGCCTAACAGTTTAGTTTAGAGCAAAACAAAGTGTCACATAAGCAGTCTTAATATGTCTTAAATATGTAATAGTTGCTTCCTAAATCTCATAAAATTCATGCCAGTCTGCACAATGTACAAACCAAAGGAGTTCTACTTTCACCCCACTGTCTTAACACACAAGTTATATATTTTTTTCAGTGTGAAGTTAGACAAACTTTAATGGAAACAGACCTCATCAGAGATCCAGACAGATGTTGCCTTCAGCCAAGCCTGAACCAGCTAACATGAGTTTAAATATGGGAAATTCCAGTCTGCCAGTGGAAAATAGTACTAAAATTGAGTGACAATCAAGATATAGTTTGACTATAGAAAGGATATTTACACCAAGAGGAAACTGTATTAAGTGGTAACAACCATATTAAACAAGTAAAATCCTGGAAATGTTTGCTTTTGGGTTACAGAATGATGGTGATGATAGACACTGTCTACAGTACAGGGATGGCTCTCAAAAACCAGAATTGATTTGTTTTTTTCAAACGCTATACTGAAGAAATTTTATGTGAAAATAAACAGAAATATTTAGGAAATGATTGCCTTCTCAAAACTATGGGTGACTTGCAAAAAAAAAACGGACTCAAATTAAAGCAGCAGAGGCAATATTATCCTAACTTTTCCTAGTATGAGCCAAGCATCAAATGGACCATATAATTTCTATGATGCACCCTGATAGCATCTTTCCCTTGAACCTCCCTGCACTTCATCAGGAAGATCAGTAAACTGATGATTGTTTAACTGAATGTGAGATCATGTGTAAATCGGGTGGAGTGCCCCTAAGCATTACAGAAAGCCAAAACTGATGTTTGTTACAGCTTCTTTTCCTTTTCATACAATAACTGTCTTCACATCCTCACATGGGCCATGGCACAGAAGGAAGCTACAACACTGTATGTTAAATCAGTAATGATATTTGTTTTAATCACGTGACCATGCGGATTGTTACCATAAAAGAAAGAAGACCAAAAGAGAAATAAAATATAGAAAAAAGAGCAGCACAGAGAGGTTGTTGGAGGGTCTATCTGTCTCCTCTGGTAAATATTTGCATTGAGCAGATGAGTCCAAGCATGAGAGGAAAATGAGCATTTTCTATCATTCGATTAATATTGTCTGACAGACATCTTATCTTAGAGAGCCTGAGCAGTAAGGGAGACTGCCTGGGAGGAATCAGTGTGCCAGTGTCTTTGTCCGCATCGGACCCTCACAGCAACGCAGTCATCCTTCTTCTGTCCTCCACCCCTGGCAGTGCCCACAGCTGCCACACAGCCAAGGATCCAATAATGAGCCTGTCTACTTTCGCTAGCATCCACATACAAAAGACTTCCAGCTACACAGCTCGCACAGATCCCAGTGATACTCGAGAGGCAAAAGAACAGACATGCAGACATGAAGAGTTATGGTCAAAAATATTGACCATTCGCTAAACGCTTCCTCCAAACAGCAAATTATAGCTTAGCAATATAATATAACATATGATAACATACAGCAACAATGAGGTGTGTACTGTACTGGAGTATTTTTGCAGTATGTTATTGCTACTTTTACTGCAGTAAATGATCTGAATACTTCTTCCACCAATGTGTATTTCAGTAGTACACATCTGAGCAGCGTTATGTATATTTTCTTATTATACTGTACTTTTTTTATTAAAACCACCAGTGGCAATGACAGTTGTCATTATTGCCAGAAAAATCAACATTTGCCTTCTAGAAATGACATGTTTGCCTTTGTCTACTTCTCTTTGAAATCAGGACATGTTTTTAAAATTACCACAAATTTCTGTTGGTAAATCTTCCACTGTTATGGATGTAAACTGCACATCTGGAGAGCTAAAATGGTCTTAGCAACAGTAACTAAGGTTTAGGATTAATTCAAATTTTGCTTGATGGAGGCAAAACTTGCTGGACAGATTTCTGATAGATGCAACCGTATTGTCTTGAAAAGCAACTGGTTTGCAATGTTGTTTGTTTAAACTTTGCATGCTGGCTGCCCCAAAATGGAGCAAAAGGTTACAGTTTCACTTTTAAGGAACGCTGTCCTCACAAGTCATGTGACATTCACTCATGTTTAGGAAACAGTTTGGATTTTTCTTTGGCATGCTTCATGTGGGTGATACAGCTTCAGGAGTTAATATGGATAAAGTGTTAATCTACACTACAGCATTTAAATTGGCATTTAGCATTTCTGATGCACTTTTCTCTGGAGCCCATCAGCACCGTACTGACTGAAGTTTTATCTCACTCTTTTACCTATTAAATGTATAAATGCATAAATAGTAAATGGACTGTACTTATCTAGCACCTTTCTAGTCTTCCGAC